GGCGGGGAGCGTGGGGGCCTGGGGGGGGGGGGCCGGGCGCGGAGGGGGTGCCCCTGGCGCAGGCCACTCGACGCTAGCCGCTCGACCCCGGGCAGCATGTGGGGCGTGGATGACTGCCGTCTATTTTTGAATTGTCCATGATCTGCCTCCTGGCACGGATCTCCGGTCGCATCTGCCCTGTGCGCCCCCCCCCACGCATGCACGGTCGCTCTGGGCTGGCTCCGAGCTAGGCGCGCACCGGGGCTTGGGCGCCCATGCGGGTAGGGGCGGATTTCCTTGACTTGCGATGGCATTTCATCTGGTCCAAGACCACTCGGGAGAAGGGGCGTGGGCGTGGGCGTGGGCGTGGGCGTGGTCGCGGGGGCGGGGGCGGGGGCGGGGGGCGGGGGCGCGGGGGGGTAGCCATTTCAGGTGCATTGTTGGTGTGCGGCTCTCCGCCCAGGCAGCCCGGCCCGGGCCCTATCGCCCCTGACCAGTGTGGTAAGTCCATGCGCCCCTCGAACCACGGGGTCCGGCCAGTGCGATCGGCCAAGACCACGGTGCAACCCATATGCAATTTGCGCCTCCACGCGCACACAAGCGCCCATGAGACACACATTAGACACACCAGACGCCCATATCAAGCTCGGGAGATCAAGCGCCCCTGCCCCGGCTGGCAAGCAGCAGCGCACTCCGTCTCGAGGAATGCGCCTCCAGTCCCGCACCCCCCCCCCCCCCACGAAGGCCCTGGCAGGGTGCCCGCGTATCTAGCCCCAAGTCGCATGTGTTTTCTCGCCGCCTCGGGGGTCGGATACAGGTTGCAAGAACGGTGGGCCGGACGCTCCACCACCCACCGCCCCCCGGCACACGGACACGATCGCGTGAGATGCCCATCCACCGGTGTGCTGACCAGAGAGCACGTGCTACATGGCGAGATTCCCACAGCGAGGCCGTTATCATGGCGACCTGTCACTCCTCGGCCTTTCAAACTCGTCGATCTGACCAGGGCACGCCAGCGCTCACTGCTCCAGTCCGCTCTTGGGCGCCTTCCAGGTGAATGGGGCGCGAGGGGACGAGGGATCACACATCTGGCCTCTCGGTGGTTGACAGATCGAACCGGGGGCCGGGTAGCCAAGGCCACGGGGGGCGCCTCATCGGCAGGCTCTTCGCTCCGACTCACCATCGAGAGTCCAGCTACCCCCATTCCTCCCCCTCCCC